TTGATTGTCTGTTTGTGTGTTTGTTTGTTTGTGTGTGTTTGTGTGTTTGTGTGTGATTGTGTGTTTGTGTGTTTTTGTGTTTGCGTGTTTGTGTGTTTGTGTGTTTGTGTTTGTTTGTTTGTGTGTTTGTGTGTTTGTGTGTTTGTGTGTTTGTGTGTTTGTGTTTGTGTGTGTGTTTGTGTGTTTGTCTGTTTGTGTGCGTTTGCGTGTGTTTGTGTGTTTGTGTGTTTGTCTGTTTGTTTGTCTGTTTGTGTGTTTGTTTGTTTGTGTGTGTTTGTGTGTTTGTGTGTGATTGTGTGTTTGTGTGTTTTTGTGTTTGTGTGTTTGTGTTTGTTTGTTTGTGTGTTTGTGTGTTTGTGTGTTTGTGTGTTTGTGTGTTTGTGTGTTTGTGTGTTTGTGTGTGTGTTTGTGTGTTTGTGTGTTTGTGTTTGTGTGTTTGTGTCTGTTTGTGTGTTTGTGTGTGTTTGTGTTTGTCTGTTTGTGTGTTTGTGTGTGTTTGTGTGTGTGTTGGTGTTTGTGTGTGTGTGTGTGTGTTTGTGTGTGTGTTTGTGTTTGTGTTTGTGTCTGTTTGTGTGTTTGTGTTTGTGTGTGTGTTTGTGTTTGTGTTTGTTTGTGTGTTTGTGTTTGTGTCTGTGTCTGTGTTTGTGTTTGTGTGTTTGTGTGTTTGTGTGTTTGTGTGTTTGTGTGTGTGTTTGTGTGTTTGTCTGTGTTTGTGTTTGTGTCTGTTTCTGTGTTTGTGTTTGTGTGTTTGTGTGTTTGTCTGTTTGTGTGTGTGTTTGTGCGTTTGTCTGTGTTTGTGTTTGTGTTTGTGTGTGTTTGTGTTTGTGTTTGTGTCTGTGTTTGTGTTTGTGTGTTTGTGTGTTTGTGTGTTTGTGTGTGTGTGTGTTTGTTTGTGTGTTTGTGTGTGTTTGTGTGTTTATGTGTGTTTGTGTTTGTGTGTTTGTGTGTGTGTGTGTTTCTGTGTGTGTTTGTGTTTGTGTGTGTGTTTGTGTGTGTTTGTGTGTTTGTCTGTTTGTGTGATTGTGTGTGTTTGTGTGTTTGTGTGTGTTTGTTTTTGTGTTTGTGTGTGTGTGTTTATGTGTATGTCTGTGTTTGTGTTCGTGTGTGTTGGTGTTTGTGTTTGTTTGTGTGTTTGTCTGTTTGTGTTTGTGTGTGTGTTTGTGTTTGTGTCTGTCTGTTTGTGTTTGTGTTTGTGTGTGTGTTTGTGTTTGTGTTTGTGTCTGTTTGTGTGTTTGTGTTTGTGTGTGTGTTTGTGTGTTTGTCTGTTTGTTTGTCTGTTTGTGTTTGTGTTTGTGTGTTTGTGTGTGTTTGTAAATTTGTGTGTTTGTGTGTTTGTGTGTGTTTGTGTTTGTCTGTTTGTGTGTTTGTGTGTTTGTGTGTGTGTTTGTGTTTTGTCTGTTTGTCTGTTTGTGCGTTTGTGTCTGTTTGTGTGTTTGTCTGTTTGTGTGTTTGTGTTTGTGTGTGTGTTTTTGTTTGTGTGTGTGTTTGTGTCTGTGTTTGTGTTTGTGTGTTTATGTGTTTGTGTGTGTGTTTGTGTGTTTGTTTGTTTGTGTGTTTGTGTGTGTTTGTGTTTGTCTGTTTGTGCGTTTGTGTTTGTGTTTGTGTGTTTGTGTTTGTGTGTGTGTTTGTGTTTGTGTTTGTGTTTGTGTCTGTGTTTGTGTCTGTGTGATTGTGTGTTTGTGTGCTTGTGTTTGTGTCTGTGTTTGTGTTTGTGTTTGTGTCTGTGTTTGTGTTTGTGTGTTTGTGTGTTTGTCTGTTTGTGTGTTTGTGTGTTTGTGTTTGTGTGTTTGTGTGTTTGTCTGTTTGTGTGTTTGTGTGTGTTGTTTGTGTTTGTGTGTGTGATTGTGTGTTTGTGTGTTTGTGTGTTTGTGTGTTTGTGTGTTTGTGTGTTTGTGCGTTTGTGTGTTTGTGTGTTTGTGTGTTTGCGTGTTTGTGTGTTTGTGTGTTTGTGTGTTTGTTTGTCTGTTTGTGTGTTTGTGTGTTTGTGTGTTTGTGTGTTTGTGTGTGTGTGTTTGTGTGTTTGTGTGTTTGTGTTTGTGTTTTTGTGTATGTGTGTTTGTGTGTTTGTGTGTGTTTGTGTGTTTGTGTGTTTGTGTGTGTGTTTGTGTTTGTGTCTGTGTGTGTGTTTGCGTGTTTGTTTGTTTGTCTGTTTGTGTGTGTGTTTGTGTGTTTGTGTTTGTGTTTGTCTGTTTGTGCGTTTGTGTTTGTGTTTGTGTGTTTGTCTGTTTGTGTGTTTGTGTTTGTGTGTGTGTGTGTGTGTTTGTGTTTGTGTTTGTGTTTGTGTCTGTGTTTGTGTTTGTGTGTGTGTGTGTTTGTGTGTTTTGTGTTTGTGTGTGTGTTTGTGTGGTTGTCTGTTTGTGTGTGTTTGTGTGTGTTTGTGTGTTTGCGTGTTTGTGTGTGTGTGTTTGTGTTTGTGTTTGTGTTTGTGTTTGTGTCTGTGTTTGTGTGTTTGTCTGTTTGTGTGTTTGTGTGTTTGTCTGTTTGTGTGTCTGTGTGTGTTTGTTTGTTTGTGTGTGTTTTTGTGTTTGTGTGTGATTGTGTGTTTGCGTGTTTGTGTGTTTGTGTGTTTGTGTGTTTGTGTGTTTGTGTGCTTGTGTTTGTGTGTTTGTGTGTTTGTGTGTTTGTGTGTTTGTGTGTTTGTGTGTTTGTGTTTGTGT